CGCGAGGTGTGAGTGGGACCTGCCCTGAATGCCAACAGCGCTGGCAGGGTGCAGGGGGTGACCTTGGCTCCCCTCAGCGCTGTCATGGAAGAGGCTTGACGTGACCCTGCTCTGTGTTGCCCTTTGCCCACAGGGCTGGGGGCACCCCGTCCTCCTGGGGGGCGGGTGCTGAGGGTCTCCCGCACGCTCCCCATGCTGCCCGTTGATCGATAGCCAGGGCTGCATTGGTAGCTGCTGCCCTGCTCTGCAATTCCCTTTCATCCCTTGCTCCCCAGCAGCTCCCGGTATGTGTGTGGGAGGGAGCTTCCAGCCTGGCCTCTCACCCAGAGGGGCTAGGGGCAGCTCTTTCCCCGCCCATGCCCAGTCTGTGCCCCACAGCCCATCTGGTCTCAACCACCTGCCCAAGCCCATGGCCCTCAAGTGATGGAGGAAGCTGCCGTCAGCACCTCCCCATAGTACGTACCCATCCCCTCCTCACAGCCTGTCCCTGCCCCTTCCCCACCCCTACTGCATCTCTGCCTCCATCAGTTCCCCATCACAGCCCCGTTCCTATCGCATCCCTGTCCACATCACCAGCGGGGGATCGTGGATGAAAGAGAAAGGAAAACTGAGGCAGGGGGCCACGGCGGCTCGTGTAGCACTGCTGGGGGAACCGCTTGCCCTGGCTGTCAGCCCTGGCTGAGGTGGGAAGCCCCACGAGGGATGCGGGGGGCTCCTGGGCTGATGAGTACCTAGGAGTGGGGTGGAGGGAGAGCGCAGTCTCCCCGGGGCCACCGTCCCCCCACAAAACGCTGCTCTCCTGCCTGGAGGGGGGATGCTGGGGGCAGCCCCTTCCTCCCCTCCCCTGGTTATCTCTGCATCTCCCGGTCCTGCCACGCTCGCTCCCTCTCTCGCTGGCTGGTGAGGGCACCCGGCTTTGAAGCTGCGTTGAAATATAGATAAGGGCAAAGGCAGTAGCCGCGCTCAAAGCGAGATTGGGGAGGGAGTCGGGGGACGTCAGGCCGGAGCGGGGGCTGCGGGAATGCTCAGCCTCACACTGCACAGAGCCCCCCATAGCCCCCTTCCCGAGACCCCCAGAGCCTTCTCCCCTGCGCACAGACGGGCCCGAGCCCCGGTGGCGCGGACGAGGGCGAGCAGGGGCTGGAGCAGATTTACGGGCTCAGCCCAGCACAGGCAGCGTTTATGGGGATAAGGCGATAGATCCTGGAGACAGCAGCGCAGCCTGGCCTGGGGGTCCAGCTTAGCAACTGGAGAGGAACGGGGACAGCGCGGAGCCGGGGTCCGCGGCAGCCCTGCCCGGTGCTGCTCCATCCCTACTGCGTGCCCCGGTGAGAGCAGCCCCTGCCCGGCCTGAGGAGGGGTCCAGAGGGGCTCTCCCCTCTCTGATGGGGCTCATGGGAAGCAGCATGGAGCCATTATGGGGTTGCTGCAGGGCGGCTGGTGCCAGGATGGGTCCCCAGTGCCTCCAGCACCTCCTGCAGCCCCCGGGATCGTGTTGAGCTCTGAGGAGTGCTTCAGTTCCCCCCCCCCCCGGGCTTCCTCTGCTCGCTCCCCTCCTCCCCACACCCCCCTTGGGATGCAGGTCGTCCGGAGCAGGAACTGCCGGAGCACCGGGCAGCTCGCGGGTGACAGTGATTGACGAGGCCGGGGCTGACGGAGCAGCATCCTGCGCACCAGAGCAGCTGGCAGGGCAGGCAGGGCCACGCCGGGCACCGCGGTGCAGAGCCAGCAGCAGCCGAGCTGAGGGATGGGGAAGCGGGGAGGGGGAGCAGCTTCCCGAGGTGGGGACGTGGGACAAGTCCAAGATGGGGTCTCAGGGTGGGAGAGGTGCTGCTGGCTCCGCTCACCTTGTGGTGTCAGTGCCCGCAGCCAGACATGCAGAGCTGCAGCCGTGGGGACTCTCAGGAAGGGAATGCTGTGTCCCATCCCCACTGATGCTGGGGTCCTTTTCTCGACCGGAGCTGCCTTGGGGTGCCCGTGCCCATCAGCACCTCCCTAAGGGGGCTCACAGCCCACCCAGGTTGAAGGGACCAGGTCTTCTATCACAGCTCCCTGCCTTGATTCATCTCACCAGGAATGGGGCTGCTTCTTTCCACCCTGGGGGACCCCTTGCCCCAGACTCCTGGCTCTGCTGGGCGAGGGGCTGTGCTGGTACAGGCTCCTTGCAGCCCCCGGGAGGTTTTCCCTCTGCTGCCCATCATTTACGCTTTTGCTGCCAATTCTGCTGAATGCAGAACGAGGGGTCCCCGCTCATTCCTTGCGTGCCCTCCTCCCCGGCACACAACGCACACAATGCACACAATGCACCCCATTCTCCAGCCGTGTCTGCCCGATGCAATTATCCTGGGGGGCGGAGTGGCTGCCATGCAGCCTGGCAGGGGTCTGGCGTTTCAGCTGCACATCAGAGGTGCTGCCTAATGCAATTAGGCTTTACTGGCAGGCAGCGCGGGGCTCTGGTGTCTCCCCATATCCGGGCATGCTGATGTCCTGCGTCTTAACAGGCATCACTTGTGGGGCAGGCGGTCATGGACTGGCCGGCATCCTGCTTCCTCTGGCAAAGGGATGTGGTTGGTGCTGGAGAAGCAGCCCCAGCTCCTGGCATGGGGATGGCACGGGCAGGATGCAGCCATGCTTACACCAGTGGCACGGCACCAAGGGAGGATGCGGTGCCAGAGGGGTGCATGGTGCTGGGGGGTGCATGGCCACAGACGGGCTGCAGGAGGGGGATGCGGGCAGGGGGATGCAGCAGGCGCAGCTCCCCCAGTCTCTGCTCTCTCCCCAGGCGGTGTGTGCTGGGGGCCACATTGCCAAGACCCTGGGGTACCTGGAGCTGGGCACCTCCGGCCTCCTCAAGGATGTTCCCTATGGCACCCTGAAGCCTCCGGTGCTCGACCCTGGGCGGCTGGTTCCAGCTGAGCCTCCCCGGGGCGCAGGGAGCCCCTGGGACTGGCAGAAGAACCAGACAACGGGGGAGCTGCTGAACCCCCGCGCCCGGCGCAAGCCCTCGCTCAAGTCCGGCCGCACCAAGAAGATCTTTGGATGGGGCGACTTCTACTTCAACATCAAGACGCTCAAGTTCAGCCTGCTGGTGACGGGCAAGATCGTTGACCACATCAACGGCACTTTCAGCGTCTATTTCCGACACAACTCCTCCAGCCTGGGCAACGTCTCGGTCAGCATCGTGCCCCCTTCCAAGGCGGTGGGGTTTGAGGTGCTGGTGCCGGCCCCAGCGCCGCTTTCCCTCCCAGCCCCTCAGCAGAGCACCCTGCCCGAGGGGCGCCCGGCCAAAGCCCTCAATTGCCACGTGGAGTATGAGAAGACGAACCGGGCGCGGAAGAACAAGCCCTGCCTGTACGACCCGTCTAAGGTGTGCTTCACCGAGCACACGCAGAGCCACGCCGCCTGGCTCTGCGCTAAGCCCTTCAAAGTCATCTGCATCTTCATCTCCTTCCTCAGCATCGATTACAAGCTGGTCCAGAAGGTCTGCCCTGACTACAACTTCCAGCACGACAACCCCTACTTTGGCTGATGGCTGCGGGAAGGGGCGGTGGGCACCAGAGATGGAGGCAGAGGGGGACCAGGGGCTCCTGGACCCCGTCCTGGCTGCACAGTGCCCCCCATTGCTGCCGCACCGACCTCCCCTTCCTCACTGGGTGCTGGCCCTAACGCCCGCTGTGTGCCATGCTCCCATGCACTGGGATGGGGTCCCTGGGAGCGTGCGGGCTGGTCGGGGGGTACAGCCCCGTGCAATGGCATCAGCTGGGTGCGTGCCACCCCCCGGGCAGGCACAGTTGTAGCAGGGGGGATTTGGGGTCACAGTGCTGGTGCAAGCCCCCCTCAAATTTGCCCCCCCCCCCAGGCTGCTGCCTGTCCCCCACCTGCAGTGAAGGAGTACCATGGCTGGTGCCTGGGGGCCCAGGGCCCTTGCTGGGGGCTGCTCCCCCCCGGCTCTGGGCAGGGACTTCCTCATATTTTTTTAATAAAATTAAAATGAAAAAAAAAAGCAGAAAATAAAGAAAAACATTGGGAAAAAAAAAAAAAGGGAAAGTGTTGGAGTGTGCTGAGCCCACACCACCGCGATGCGGGAAGAGGAAGGAGGGATGGGGGGGTGAGTTTGTCAAGGATGGTATGTGTGGTCAGGGATGGGGTACGGGGGTCAGGGATGGGATGTGGGGGTCAGGGATGGGATGGAGAGATCAGGGATGGGATGCGGGGGTCAGGGATGGGATGCGGGCGTCAGGGATGGCGGGGTCAGGGATGGGATGCGGGCGTCAGGGATGGGATGCGGGCGTCAGGGATGGGATGCGGGGGTCAGGGATGGGATGCGGGGGTCAGGGATGGGATGCGGGGGTCAGGGATGGGATGCGGGGGTCAGGGATGGGATGCAGGGATGCGATGCGGGGATCAGGGATGCGATGCGGGGGTCAGGGATGGGATGCGGGGGTCAGGGATGGGATGCGGGGGTCAGGGATGGCGGGGTCAGGGATGGGATGCGGGGGTCAGGGATGGGATGCGGGCGTCAGGGATGGGATGCGGGGGTCAGGGATGGGATGCGGAGGTCAGGGATGGGATGCGGGGGTCAGGGATGGGATGCGGAGATCAGGGATGGGATGCGGGGGTCAGGGATGGGATGCGGGGGTCAGGGATGGGATGCGGGGGTCAGGGATGGGATGCGGGGGTCAGGGATGGGATGCGGGGGTCAGGGATGGGATGCGGGCGTCAGGGATGGGATGCGGGGGTCAGGGATGGGATGCGGGGGTCAGGGATGGGATGCGGGGGGCAGGGACGGGATGCGGGGGTCAGGGATGGCGGGGTCAGGGATGGGATGTGGGGGTCAGGGATGCGATGCGGGGGTCAGGGATAGGATGCGGAGCTCAGGGATGGGATGCGGGGGTCAGGGATGGGATGCGGGGGTCAGGGATGCGATGCAGGGGTCAGGGATGAGGGTACCCCCGGCCGGGGGGGAAGCTCCTGTTTCCCGTCGGGCCCCGCGGCGCCGGCAGCCCCTTTGGCTCCGCCCCGGCAGCGCTCGCGGAGCCCGGTGGGGCGGCACCGGGCAGCGACCGGGAGCGCGACTGGGACCGGGAGCGGGAGCGGGACCCGGACCCGGCCGGGATCCGCCTGGACCGCGGCCGCCATGTGGCCGCTCCGCCTGGGCAGGGTGAGTCTGGGACCGGGGGGGTGCCCTCGGTGTGTGGGGTGGGGAGTGCACGGGGGTACCGATGGCCGGGGTACCCCGGTGCCCGCAGGGTACCGGTGCCTTGTGGAGTCCGGATGCGCAGGCAGTGCCGGTGCCCGCAGGGAGCCGCGGTACCCGGGGTGTTCCGGTGCTCGCAAGCGGTCGCGGTGCACGTGGGGGGGGGGGATTCGGGTACCCACGGGGGGAGGCCCAGGAGGGGGTCGCTCCCTGCACACCCGTTTCTCCCGTCCCAGCGCCCCTTTGTGGGCGCAGCGCCCATCCGGTGGGTGTCGGGGCAGCTGGCGCCCGCTCCTGCACACACCCCCCCCCCCCCCCCCAGGCTGGGCAGTGCCCCCCACCCCGGCCCAGCTCGGCCCCCGCGGACTTTGTGTCCGGCCCAAAGTCCCCGTGTCGGGGACAGGCACCGGCCCTGGCCCCTGCTCGGTGACCGCGGGTGATGCAATGGGGCAGCAGCAGTTACATCACCCCGGTCCCTGCATCAGTAAGAGCTCCTCTTCGGGACCCTGGGCTGAGGGGGGGACCCCAGTGCACAACAACGGGGTCCCTGTGTTGTGACCGGGGGTCTGGTCATCCCACCCCTGCATGCACATGCACACACAGCCATGCACACGCGTGTGCAGTGCTGCGCACATGCTGTGCACTCATGGACATTCTGGCTGCTTCGGCACCTTCCGAGATGCTCCTGCCCCTTGTTGGGGGGGGGGGTCCCCAAGTGCATATCACAGCTGGAGGCAGGACACTGGGGTCTTGCTTCAAGCACTGCCACCCACTGGTCCAGGGGCACTTTAGAGGGTACAGAGGGGCCTGTGTGGTGTCACAGGGTGTCAGCTTCCCCTCTCCCATGCAGGCCCTGCAGCGATGTGGTGGCTGGGGGGGTACCTGCAGCCAGCGGGCACAGCACGGCACCGCCGCGGCCGCTGCCACGGGGCACGTGCCCGCCTGGACGGGGCAGGAGAGCCTGGCCGAGAGCGACCCCGAGATGTGGGCCCTGGTGCAGAAGGAGAAGGATCGGCAGTGCCGGGGGCTGGAGCTCATCGCCTCTGAGGTGGGGTACGGGCTGCTTGGGGCAGGGGATGCTCACAGCGCTGGGGGGGGGCCCTGCTCAGGTGGGAGCTTCACTGCCCCATCTCTGACCCTTTTCTTCCCCCCCGACCCAGAACTTCTGCAGCCGGGCAGCACTGGAAGCCCTGGGCTCCTGCCTCAACAACAAGTACTCAGAGGGGTACCCTGGCAAGAGGTAAAGAGGGGGAGCAGGTTCTGGGGGTTCAGGGACCCTCCTGCAGCCAGGATGCAGCTGCAGGAAAGGTTAAGGGGAGCCCTGGGGCCATAGAGGGCGCTTCCAAGAGGAGGCTGTCACCTACAGGGCAGGAGGGGAGAACCCCATCCATCACCACGGCTCACTGTCACCCCCTCCCTTCCCCAGGTACTACGGGGGAGCCGAGGTTGTGGACCAGATCGAGCTCCTGTGCGAGCAGCGCGCGCTGGAGGCGTTCGACCTGGATCCTGCGCGCTGGGGCGTCAACGTTCAGCCCTATTCGGGGTCCCCGGCCAACTTCGCAGCCTACACAGCCCTGCTGCAGCCCCACGACCGCCTCATGGGGCTGGACCTGCCTGATGGGGGCCAGTACGTGGTGGTGGGGGGCAGCCGGGAGCCTGCTGCCTGCAGGGAATGGGGGGCACCCTGCCTGATCCTGCACCCCTGCCTTCCCCTGCAGCCTCACGCACGGGTACATGTCGGACGTCAAGAGAATCTCAGCAACATCCATCTTCTTCGAGTCGATGCCCTACAAACTCAATGTGAGCTGAGGGGGAGGAAAGTGCTGGGGTGAAGGGGGGATCTGCTGGCCAAGCTGTTGGTGATGCCTCTGAGGTGCCCGAGCTGCTCTGCCATCCCCTGCCCTTCCTTCCCTCCCTCTATGCCAACCACATCCTGGTGCCTGGGAGCTGCCTGGGGTTCCGCTGGGGGCAGGAAGGGGCAGGGGCCTTGGCAAGCTCTCTGTCTGTCTGTCCCTTACAGCCAGCCACGGGGCTCATTGACTATGATCAGCTGGAGGTGACAGCTCGCCTCTTCCGTCCTCGCCTCATCATCGCCGGCACCAGCGCCTACGCCCGCCTCATCGACTACGCTCGCATGAAGAAGGTACCCGGCGGCGTCGCATCCATCCTGGGGGATGCTGCGGTCAGTGGGGGCCAGGGATGACCCATGGCTCCGTGTGCCTGCGTCTGCAGGTGTGCGAGGAGGTGAAGGCGTACCTGCTGGCGGACATGGCTCACATCAGCGGGCTGGTGGCAGCCAAGGCCATCCCTTCGCCCTTCGAGCACGCGGACGTGGTCACGAGCACCACACACAAGACCCTGCGCGGCGCCAGGTGAGGCCGTGTCCTGCATCCCCCGGGGAGGATGCTGCCTGTGCTGTGATGCAGAGGCTGCGTTTCACGCTCTGGAGAGAACAGGAGGGGCCTGCGGGAGGGTGGTAGCGGTGTTGGTGCCTCCACGGGGTGGTGGCAGGAGGAGCGGTCCCAGCTCTTAATCACCCCCAGGTCAGGGCTCATCTTCTACCGCAAGGGCGTGCGCTCGGTGGATAAGAAGACAGGCAAGGAGATGCTCTACGACCTGGAGGACAGGATCAACTTCGCTGTCTTCCCCTCCCTCCAAGGGGGACCACACAACCACGCCATCGCCGCGGTGGCCGTGGCCCTCAAACAGGTCCGTGCCGGGGTGGTGGTGGCTGGGGATGAGCCGGCCCCGCACTGATGCGGTTCCCCCGTGCAGGCCAGCTCGCCAGCCTTCCGCCACTACTGCCAGCAAGTGCTGAAGAACGCCAAAGCCATGGCACAGGCCCTGCTGCAGCGCGGGTACACCCTGGTGTCAGGTACTGCCTCCTTCCCCGCACCTCTGGGGAGAAGGAGGGATGAGGCTGCAGCATCGCTTGGCCTCAGTGCCCCTGGGCAGCAGTGGGGAGCATGGGTGGCTTGCAGGGGGCAAACAGGGGGTGTTCTAGGAGCAGGGCTGAGGTTGGGATGTGGCAGTGAACCAGTCGGTCCCTCCTCACCCCTTTCCCTCGCTCCCCAGGCGGCACCGACAACCACTTGGTGCTGGTGGACCTGCGGCCCAAGGGCATCGACGGCGCGCGGGCCGAGCGCGTCCTGGAGCTCGTCTCCATCACTGCCAACAAGAACACGTGCCCGGGGGACAAGAGCGCGCTCACGCCAGGAGGGCTGCGCCTGGGTGAGGGATGGGCCCTGCCTCCATCCGTCCAGCTCCTTCCCTTGGGGGGGGATCCCACCCTTTGCTTCACCCACATGGGACTTTGGAGCCAGTTCCCGGCTCAGAGAGGGGCCGGGATTGAGGGAGCCCCTTGTTGGGATTGGCCCAGTGCAGAGGCTGCCCCTCACGGTCTCTGTCCCCAGGTGCCCCCGCGCTCACATCCCGCCACTTCCACGAGGAGGATTTCCAGAAGGTCGTGGCTTTCATCGACGAGGGCATCGCGCTGGCCCTGGACGTCAAGAGCAAAACCGGTGGGTGAGCAGCAGGGCCCCCATCTCCCCCCTTTCTGGGTGCCGCTGTGGGTGCAGGGGCCTGTGCCCGAGCTGGTGCCAGCCTCCCCCCTTGCTGCAACATCCCCCCCCCTTCCTCCTGCATCCCCAGGCAAGCTCCAGGAGTTCAAGACGTTCTTGCTGCAGGATGCAGAGACGCAGCAGCGCTTGGCTGACCTGCGCCAGCGCGTGGAGACCTTTGCTCGTGCCTTCCCCATGCCCGGCTTCCGTGACCGCTGAGCTGGGGCTTCAAACCACCCTTTGCATTCCCCACTCCTCTTTCTCCCCCTGTAGCGCCTTTGGGCGCTGCTTCCCTGGGGTGGGGAGCAGCGTCCCCCTTCCCCATCCTGCTCTCAGTGTTAGGGTACAGAGACACCCCCCTAGATGCTGATGGGAGAGGCCCAAGTCCTTGCTCCAACCTCTCTGGCCAAGCAAATCTTGCACTTTTCTAGGGGAAGGGGGTTGCTAATAAAAGCGGGGCAGAGCTGGTTGCTGTGGAGGTGTTGTGGGTGCTGAGCTGGGGAGGGAGAGGGCAGCGATGGGGTGTTGTGGGGAACAGTGTCCCTGGGGCCCCCGAGCACCGTGCCATGGATGGATGTGGGGCACGCACCCACTGCCTGCAGCTGTGCCTCAGTGTCCCCGCCACGGGGGCAGAAGGAGCTGGGGATTTACACTGAGCCCTGGAGCGTGACACCCGCGCTGGGGGGGGGCCGTGGCCCAGGCCCTGGCACGTCCCCCCCTGTCACCTGCTTTGTATTTGCTGGCCAGCGTTCAGCACTGCCATAGCCAAACCAAGCAGCGCCAGGCTGGCGCCTTGGCCCCATGGCTCAGGACCAGGGGCTGTGCACACGTGCAGGGCACGCACACCCATCCACGTGCTTGTGAGCGTGTGTGACTCCCTCCATCCCATCCAGCCCTTTTCCCTCTCTGGAGGGGCTGGGTTGGGACCGGGAGAGGCCCTGGAGCGTGGGAGAGAGGAAACCCAGCACCCAGGGGCCATGAACCGCTGCTTCCAGTGGGATGTGAGTCCCCATCCCAGCCTTCAGAGGGGGAGATGCCTGTCTCCTGCGTTCATGGGGCTGGGAAACCGTGCAGGATCTGTTTTTCCTGACCCACTCCCCGCTCCGAATAGTTGATTACTGTGCTATGAGTTTAATGTAGGCAAAACAGGATGGTGACAGCAGCGTGCCAGGCATCGGTGAGCGCATCGCTCCTGCAGTGATGTGCTTTATTGCAGGTTGGGGGGCCCAGCCCCATGGATTGGGGGTGCTGGGGAGGCAGCGAGTGGCATGGAGCTGTGGGGCAGGAGAGGTTGATGGGGGCTGTGGCAGAGCTGCCCCAGCACATCCCAGCTGCAGCTCAGAAACTGGGCCGCTCCTTCTTGAGGCTCTTGTAGTCGGTGGAAACTGCCAGAAACTGGAGAAAGGAGGGATGTGATGGGGGAGGAATGTTCCCTCCGTCCCAAAGCTGACGTTGCCTCTCCCCCTTCTCCCCTGAGGGGGTCCTGCCTTAACCGCAGCCATTTCCCACCCACCCCGGAGGCCCCCAGTTCACCCAGTGCTCACTTTATACTGGTCCGTGGGGCTCAGCTTATTCCAGGGCTCAGGATTATTCTTCCGATCCCAGCTGCAAGGTCATGAGCATCTATAAGGGGAGGGGGGAGACAGACCAGCACCCCCATCACCCCCATTTTACCCCATTAATGCCCCCAGCCCTCTGATGCTGCTGTGATTGGGGTGAGGACTTGTTTGGGGTGGGGGACACACACACCAGGCAGGCACATCCCTGCCCAGCCTTGTGCCACGGCCATGGCCTGACTCACCAAACCGCAGCCTGGCAAGCACCACGGCACCGGTGCTACGTGCAGGGGTGCACATCTGCCTGCCCCAGCCGCCCCATCCCTCTGCCCCACTGCCTGTGAGCCTGCAAGGGGAGCGCTGGTGTCGCTCAGATGAAGCCGTCCCAAGGAGGACACGTCCCATCCCATCCCGTCCCGTTGTGGGAGGCCAGCAGCGCTGTGGGATGGGTCCCTGGAGAGCATCCCCCCCCCCCTCCATCCTCCTGCAATCCGCTGGTGTTGGCCAAGAGCAGAATTTTCCATCTGGGAAGCTGTGTGTGCATGCACGTGTGTGCGTGCGTGCACGCTGGGGGATGCGGGGGGGGTGCGGTGTGTGAATACGGCCCCCCCCGAGCTGTTTAATAGCATTAACGTGCTGGGGAGAGGGATGCTGCTGTTGTTTTATCCCCCCTCACGCACACATGCGCTTCCCCCATCAAAGACAAGGTGCCTGGGTCTGCTAATTGCCGTGCTAAGTACCCTGGGCAGCTGGCGTCAAACGGAATCAATGAGCGTTTTACCGGGAGCAAACAAATATTAGAGAGGCATTAAGGCAGCGTGGAGCTGCAGGGACCGCGGGCCACTGAGCTACGGGGGGGGAAGCAAAGCAGGCTGGTGTGCTGCAGCGTGCTGTCTGTCCTGTGCCAGCCCATCCGCTGCCGCTCCTCAGCAATCCATCCTCACACCTCGCCTCCCGCTCCTTTCCCATTCAGCCTTGCACGCTTTTCATCTCTGCCCATCCCTCCCTCTCTCCCTGGGTTCCTTCTCCAACCATCCATCCCACTGGTTTCCCATTCCTCTGTCAATCCAACCCTCCCCACGCGGTTCCCCCCCTCCATCAGTCACATACTGCTCTTATCTGCCTCGTCATCCTGCCCCATAACCTCTCTGCATCTCTCTCCCGGCCAGAGCAGCAGGATGGGGGGGGCCTGGTCCCTCACTTCCCGAGTGCATCCCTTCGGGCACTGCTGCACCCATCTTTACTCGCCATGGAGGGCGTCAGAGCCCATCCAGGAGCCTTGTGCACCCCAGGGACACCCCGACCCATACCTGACATCCGGGCTGTACAGGGCCAGCCTCAGCAGGTACAGGACAGCACTGCCCATGCCGACACTGATGAAGCCAATGAGGGGAATGAGCTGCAGAGAGAGGAAAATGAAAAATACCCCAATGGAATGAATATTTATCAGGCCGACTGGAGAGTGAAAGGGAGAGCTGACACACCGGGAGATTTACAGGGGAAATATGGCAGAGCAATCCTGTAGCCGGGCTGCGGTACACAGTGTAGCTGTCAGCTTGAGTGACTGAATTAAAAGAGGGAGAGAAAAATCGGCTCGTGTTGGAGAGGAATTGGATTTGGAATGAGAAATCGCTTCCCCTCCGCCTGCTGCTGCTGCTGCCCAGTGCTGGCTCTGGCTGGTGGGGCCATGGTGTGATGGTGCCTTGGTCAGGGGCTCAAGCTCAGGATTCCTCCCAAAGGGACTTGGTCCTCTTCCCCCCCTGTATCCTTTCCCATCACCTCTGGATGAGGAGGGTTCAATCCATCTTCCCCTGTGCCTGCAGCAGGGATGAGCTGGGCTCACTGGTGCCAAGCATCACTCAGTGACCCCCTCCAGGAGCTGCCCCAGCCCCATAGAGGGTGACCCAGGGGTGTCCCTTCACCGTGCTCCGTGGGTTTCGCATCACGCCTTTGCAGGGCAACCAGCTCCATCTCCTCATCTCCGCTTCCCCCCCGCCTCTACTGGCGCTGCCAATCCCCAGTGCCCGGGGGGACGTGGCCTCAATCGGAGCCGAGCCGAGGCTGCTTTGACCTCCCCCAAATTGCAGCGGCCCCCGTGCTAGGGAAGGCGGGCGGAGCGTAATGAACCTCCCGCCAAGCCGTGCCCCTGGGAGGGCGAGCGGCAGCCGCCTCCTCGCCGTGCCCATTAGCACGGAGCGGGGCTCGGGGCTGGCGTGCGCCGGGCGCGCTGCATCGCCGGCAGCCGAACCCCCCTGCGTGGTGTTTGCTGGAGCAATGAGCAAGTGTCCCCACATCCCCCCCGCCCCAGCCACCCATTGCACCATGACTCAGGTTCCCATTTGGATGAGGCATAGGATCCCAGAGCGGTTTGGGTTGGAAGGGACCCTAAAGCTCATCCCCTGCCACAGGCAGGGACACCTTCCACTGGACCAGGTTGCTCCAAGCCCCATCCTTAGATGAATAGGGTCCATCCAAGCCCCCTCTCTGTTCTCTGCCAAGCATCTTCTTATGGGGAAGACCCCTGGGCAGCCAGATGCATCTCCCTACCCTGACTGTGCCCCCCCATCCTCTCCCAGTGCCCATGGCCGAGCCAAGCCGTGCTCGCAGCGGCTGCTGGAGCACCGGGCAGATGCCAGCGCCGGTTCGGGGGGTTAGAGGCATCAGCAGATAATGATCTTCCGTGCTGCGTGCGGCTGGGTGCCAAGAGGAGCTGGCAGTAGCCGCTACCCAACCGCGCCGGCTAATCAAGACGAACTCCACAGCGCCGGGAATTGCTGTGTCTGGTGGAGGAGAGTCGGGGCGATGGGTTCGTCTCACCATCTGCTGCTGACACCTTCTGGGTAATTAATGCCTGGGAACAATTAAGGGTAGGGGAGCTGGGGGAGCCGCGCATTGCACAGGCAAAGGGGCTCTGGGGCTGCAGGTGCAGGCGGTGGGGCCGGATTCCCCCGCCCCAAGGCACACACAAAGGTAAACAAGATGTATTGAGGGCTTGATCTTAAGCATCCGGAGAGTCCAAATGCTGCCTGTGTGCCTGCAGTGGTTGCCCTTTAACCCCACTTGGGGGGACCTGCTCCCCAGGACCCCCATCTCCCAGCCGGGCTTGACCGCATCCCAGCCACCACTCAGCACTTCCAGAGTGGGGATCTGGCCCCATTCTGACCACTCCACCTCCAAAAATAGCAGGAAGGAGGAAATAAATGCATAAAGGTGCTGGGTGAGGTGGGGAACCTGTGCCTGGATGGGATACGGGCGAGCATCCCCTCCTGTGGCAGCACCATGTACCATAGGGAGCGGCTGGTGGGATGCAGCCCCAGGCTCTGATGGTCCCCGAAAAGCACCCACTGAGCCGTGCAGCCCCCGGCCATGCCAAACGGGTTTTGCTCCTGTGCTTCACCATCACGGTGCTCCAGGGCGTGCTGGGGACATTAATCACTGCCATGCAGGCAGGCAGCCGGGCGTGCTGCCTTGGGAGAATCTATTGCCAGGTGAAAGTGCTGATGTACCTGCCCGGTGCGAGCTGGAGCTCATTGCCTGCAATGGATGTCACATCCAAAACTGCCCCAGCAACCTCTGCCAGCAATAATCCTGCTTAACGGCACCGGGCACATGCCAGGCTCTTCACATACAGGCGCCCAGCATCACCCTCCTCTTTACATGCACTGGCTGGGGGCCTCTCTGTGCCCCCCCCCCCCCAGCTCATACACCATCCTCTGCCTGACAGATGGGGAAACCTTGGCAGGAGCGAGCAGAAAAGCCCCAAATCACCCCGTTTTGCATACAGGAACACAGAGCAGCCCTGGTCTGTGCTGTCCCTCCATCCGCTCCCACCAAGCACCCAGGAGCACCCACTTTTCCTTGGAAGAGCCCAGCACCAGGGTGCTCCTGCTCCAGCCCCGGCTCCCTCCCAAGTGCCAGCAGCGCCCGGATGCTCAGCCATGGCTCATCCTTTCCACCCTGGCTCCTTCACCGCCCCAAACCCAACTGCCAACAGCTTACGTGACTTCCAGCCAGTGCTTGCTCCTTAACCCTCCCCAGGCCACCAGCCCCTGCCGGGTCCCTAGGCTGCCGCTGTCTCGAAGGGGCTGTGGTTTATAAGGGTTTGAGCTTCTTTGCACATGAAAACCCTCAGCAGGGGATGGGGCCAGCTCTGAGCTGAAAGGATGGGAGTTGGTGCTTCAAACTGGGGCTGCTGGGGTGAGTGGGGAGGGGGATTGCTTCCCCCACCACTCCAAGATGCCCCCCTGAACACCCACCACAGCGGGTGGACACGGAGCATCACCCCTTGCTCAAAGAGTGCTGGTTGGGGTAAGTAAACCTGTGGGTAAGAGTCGACGTGCCCAAAGCCCAGCCCTGGCCCCTTACGGTGCTGGATGGACGGAATGGGGCAGGGTGGCCTCATCTCTCTTTAGTAAAGGGGGGCCGGGGACCCCCGGGACCACCCGGCTTACCTGGAGGATGCTGTGAGAGCCGGGAGGACAGTGCCAAGGGGAAGGTGGCACACGGGGACAGCGGGCAGGTATGGGGAGGGGGACCGGGAGCCTGAGATGGGGTTTGGCAAGAGGGAGGAAAAAGGGGGGGGGGGGGGCTGGCAAAGGGCAGGAATTGAGGGAGGAGGGAGAGGGATGTGATGAGAGAAGGGCAATGATGAGCCCGGAGGGATGGGGGCTGCGGGGGTCCCTGCGAGGAGGAGAGGGGCAGAGGGATGGGGAGGATGGGGGGGTCCCTGGAGGGGGGTGACTCACTCCGGGGTGTTTCTTGACGTGCCGGGAGAACATGGCTCCGAGCAGGGGGCCCTTCATGGCGAGGGTGTGGGGCAGGTCCGGCCGCGACGGCGGGTCCTGGAGTGCGGTCCGAGGATGGAAGCTGGGCAGGAGACGGGAGGGAGGCGTCCGCAGCAGGGCGGGGAGGGACGGGACGGGGCGGGACGGGACGGGGATCCCAGCCCGGGGACAGCATTGAGGGTCCTGAGCTCCTCCCTGCCCCTTCCAGCAGCTCCCGATAACCGCGTTAATGACGAGCTTCGGAATGGGATGCTTGAGGTCCCCGCATGCTGCTGGACCCCAAACCTCATCCGTGCCTCAGTTTCCCTCTCGGTGTACAAGGGGCTGGCCCCTTCCCTCCACGTGCAAATCCTTCCCAGGTTGCTCCGCACCTCCCTGCCAAGGCGAGGGATGAGTCGTGTGATTTGTTATGACAACCTCGCTGATGTTTGCTGCCCCCCTCCAACCTCCCATTTATGATAACTGACACAACACCCCATTTACATTTAGCAATGCAAATCTCCCTGGCGGTACCAGATGCTGCCGTGCATATGGAAACCAGCTCTTCCCATGCACTGGCTCGACAAAAGGCAGGGGAGGTGGATGGAGCAGGGACTCGTCCTCCCTGAGCATCATGGTGTGCATCTGCATGAGCAAAGCCTGGCCGCAGCCCTGGGCAGAGCACGGGGAAGGGGCGAGCGATGCCCACGGCAGGGGATCGGAACTGGGGGGGTTTAAAGGTCCTTTCCAACCCAAACCGTGCCATGATTCCATGATGGTGTCACAGAGGCAATGGGCACAGGCCAGGCCCTCTCGCGTGTCCCTCAGCTTTGCTCATGTAGATGCATACATGAACAGGCAGACAACGCACATGGCAACGTGGCAGCAGGCTTCTGCGTATACATACATGCATGCACATACACATACATATATGCCCATACACATACATACATACACACACATACATGCATGCACATACACATACATATATGCCCATACACATACATACATACACACACACATACATGCATGCACATACACATACATATATGCCCATACACATACATACATACATACACACACATACATGCATGCACATACACATACATACATACATGCACATATACATACATGCATACACATACACATACACATACATACATACACGCACACACACATACATACACACACATACACATACATACATGCACATACACATACATACATACACACACACATACATACACATACATACATGCACATACACATACATACATGCGCATACATACATGCACATACACGCACATACACATACATGCACATACATATACATGCACATACACATACATACATGCACACACACATACACACACATACACATACATACACATACATACACATACATACACATACATACATACACATACACATACATACATACACATACATGCACATACACATACATGCACATACACATACATGCACATACATGCACATATACATACATGCACATACACATACATACATATACATACATGCACATACACATACATACATGCACATACACATACATACACATACATGCACATACACATACATACATGCACATACACATACATATACATGCACATACACATACATACATGCACATACACGTACACACATGCACATACACGTACATACATGCACATACACATACACATACACATACACATGAGCTCTGGCAATTCTTACCACTGACCTACTGTGGTTTCGGCTGGGAGGCTCCAGCCCAGCAGTGCACCCCCCATGTCCCCCCAGCACCCCCCCCAGTGCAGCCCCATCCGCGCCACTCATCCTCACCTCAATTCTTCCAGCAAAGCACAAGAGGACAAAGGGGAAGAATTGCTGTGGAGTGTACGGAAATAAAGCAGCGAGGCCTGAACGGCAGCCAGCGGCGCCGTGTTGAGCCCTTTGTTGATCTAATTAGAGTTTTGAGATGGGATTGATTAAGTGCCACTCCCCAAGCCGGAGCACATCCTGCCCTCGGCATCCTTTGCTGCAGCACAGGGACAGCAGAGTGGCGTGCGTGGAGGGTCATGCCCTGTGCACATGTGTGTCCGTGGTGGGACTCACATGCAGCGCCACGGAGCGCAGCGCACAGGACACGGGGAGCCAGGTCCCGTCGCAGCCACGTCTGCTTTGGAGCATCCTGCATCTCCGCACCCTGGACCAATGCAAGCTCCTGGCTCCCCATGGATAGGCCCGGGCTTCCCGTGGAGATGCAAGAGGGATTCCCTGCCCACAGAGCCCAGCTGGCTCCACGCTCATCAATGAGTGTAATTAAGAGCCAGCTTCATCCCGTGCTTCCCTCTCCAGTGGTGATGACAGCGCTTGGCCCCGCTGCTCAGGGCTCAGCCCTGCAGGGTGCTGGGGGTGCTGCTCTGCACCCCTGCATCCCCCCCCGCAGCAAACAGACTGCAGGAGCTGCTCCTCATGCACAGCTGCCCCTGCCTGGCACCCTGCAGTTCTGATGGGTCAGCGCTTTTGGGCAAGAGCAAGCCAAGATCCTTCCTGTAGAGACACGCACACACGCGTGTGCACGCCTGCAGCCACGCAGCAACACGTATGTGTGCATCCGGGCAGCTCACGCACATACGTGTGCACGGATGGACACCTACACGTGTACACCCCAGCAGTGGATGCACATGGACACACCTTGGCACACGTGTGCACATGCAACGTGTGCTGGTGCCCCCCCCCCCCCCTTGTATAAGGGCTGTGGGGAGCTGGAAAGACAAATGGGGGGGGCATGGCAGTGATTTTACAACGGCTCCAGAAATATTATTCAAGATGAAGGAGAATCACGGCTGCTGCGAGCGAGCGCGGGGAATTCATCATCGCGAATTGGGTGCCCCCCCCTTTATCCCCCCCCCCCCCCCCGACGCCGTGGTGATGAAGTGCTTCATTAATGGGAGATGCTGCAGCTTGGGGCTGAACGCGCCTGCACCTGAGCGTGCATTTCCTTTGGCTCTCAGCCTCTCTATCCCCACATAGCCCCCCCAACACCCCCCACCCTCAGCCCCACCGCTTTGGGATGAGCCCCCCGATGGCGACACGAGGTCACCCCTCAGTGCTAATGGGATGCCCTCGCTCAGGCTCTGCTGGTGCTGCCGGAGCCGTAAATCGCGGCGGCTTTTGGCAGGGCGCGATGGAAACCGGCATCAAAAATTCATGGCAAGTAAAGCAAACAAACAATAAACAAACAGCCCATAATTAAATGCCGGCTGAACGGGATGGATTCCATCGCCCTGCAGAGCCGCGCCGCGGGACGGGCCCCCCCTGCCCGAGCAGCTCCAGTGGAGGGCATCACTCACAGGCGGGCGCTCTCGTGTTGTGACGCCTCGCACAGCCCAAATTTGGGCTCTGCTTGCCCCTTGCTCTGAGCTCGTGTGTGGTGCTGTGCCCGTCCCATGATGTCATGGATCTCTGGGGACATCACAGCGCTCCTGCCCCGGCCGTGAGCGGGCTCGGAGCGCGCCAGCACCCAAGCGCTGGCCCTGGCACCATCCATCACGGGTGCACGCTTCATTTGTAAGTGGCACCTTCATTTAAAGCGCTATTATCACCCTAATTCCTGCCATTAATCACGCGGTGCTGTGCGATGAGGACCAGGAGAGCCCAACGCGGACCCACAAACGCTGCAGGTGGGGGGGTGACACCATCCGAGCACCCCAAGACTCTGACACCCCCCTGTAACGCTGCCAAAAGGTGGTCGAGGTGACCCCCATCCCTGTGCCCATCAGCTTGGGGGTAGGCAGCACCCAGCATGAGGAGGGGACTGCCTTTCCCCATGGCAGCATCCTGGAGGGGGTATTGTGTCCTCAACCCTCACGCTATGGGCTCAGTGGGCTGGGGTCCCTGCCTGCAGGTTTTGGGGTGGCTGCGACACACACACACACACACACATCAGCTCAGTGGCAGCAGGAAGGTGTTTCCTAGACCCGACCCCACAATGAAGCACCCGCTTGGGCCCTGCCCTCGGTATTGATTTGAGTTTTTCCTCCCATAATTCGCTGAAGAAAAGCCCGAGCCCGGAGCTGTGATTTCCAGAGCCCGGTTTATAAATAACTGGGGTCACCAGCTGCCAATTGCTGTAATGCTGCCTTGATACAATTTAATAAACGTAATAGCCTCTTCCTTCATTGTGACAGAGACACTGGTGGGGCCGGCGCTGCGCCGAGCGGGGAGCACGGCTCAGACACGCACACGCCTCGACACGCTACGCGCCTGGCGTTGCACACACGTGGCCGAGGCACGCATGAACGCGGCTTCAGACGTGTGCGAGCTGGAGCCACGCAAGCACACGTCTGATGTGCGGGCCCATGGGGGTGATGCACGCAAGCTGCATGGCTCGGACATGCATGAGCGTGGCTCGTACACGCGTGAACATGGCTCGGACATGCGTGAACATGGCTTGGACATGCGTGAACATGGCTTGGACACGCGTGCACAGGGCTCGGACATGCGTGAACATGGCTCGGACACGCGTGAACATGGCTCGGACATGCATGAACATGGCTCGGACATGCATGAACATGGCTTGGACATGCGTGAACATGGCTTGGACACGCGTGCACACGGCTGGTGGTGCTCGTGCACCAACGCTCTCGCTCCGTCGTCGTCGTTGTCCCCCGCCGTGAACGTGCCCCCGGGGCCCCCCGTCCCGCGTGGGGCCCGCCCGCACCGGGGCCTCCGCCCGAGCTCTGGCGCCCTCTCGTGGCCGCGGATCGGGACCGGCACCGGGCGGCACCGCCGCCGCTACCGGACACGGTGCGGGGCACCGGGACAGGGCCTCGGGAGTGGTCCCGCTCTGGATGCTCCAGGGAGCCCCGCACCGGGAGCCTCAACCCAGCCTCCCTGGAGGCCCTCGGACCCTGGTACGGTGGCTCCAGACCCGGAGCGGGACCTCCACAGCGAGGAGCACCCTGAGCACCCCGAGCGGGTCAGGGTCCTGTGTCCCCTGCCCTGCAAAGCCCCCAGCAGCCGCCCCCCCCCCCCCCTTCTCCGGCTCCCCGTGTCCCACCCCCAGACCTGCTGAGTGATGCCAGAGACTCCAAAATCAATTCCCATCCCCGCCAGGACACGGCGAGAA